AAAAAAATAGTGATAGCATCATGAAGACTACAACCATAGAATAATCTACAAAAAAACGACCACTCCTATAAATTAATAATAATATAATAATAGATAAATTATAATACAGTAGACGTATTTTTAATATTCAAATATAAAAATATTTATTGATCCTCGCAACCCCCCCTCAATCCTAAAACCTGCATACACCACTGAGGCACTGAGTAGGACGGTATATAGGTACCTACTAGCTATATACTATATATTATATTATAGTATTATATTAGACATTTATACTAATCTCAGTAACTAGTATAAAGCAGTAATGATTAGGTAACATAAGGCTGGAATCAGTGGCGAATTTAAGGGTTCAAATAAAATCGGCAATCCATAAGAGGGGCCTCGTAAAAAATGTATCAGTAACAATGTAACATACCTACTTAAGGAATTGTGGTTTTTATTAACCTAATTTTATATAACAATGGTAAATAATATATAAATACTGAAGTTTATAGCATATTGTAAATTTATTTTTATTTTGTGATAAAAATTCAAAAAAATCAGGTATCTAAGTGGATGTCGCTCTGCTGTACAGTAGATTACAAGTGCGTCAATGCAGGATTCTATTAAACTTGAATTCAATGATATTCTATCATTGTATAAGAAAAACGATTCTGAGCGGAAACGGTTTGTCAGACTAGATATTTAATATTGTCATTAATTATTATATCATGTAAGTTGATTGTTGAATTAATTTTTATTATTTTAATATATTTTATTCGTTTCTATGGTAATAAACAAAGCGTTAGAAATTAAAATCCAATTTTTAGCGGTTTTTTGTAATTTTTTGGTGGTTTTTACCGTGGCATTAAATAGATAATTATTGATAAAATCGAAAAATAACCTAACCTCTCTAAAGTACCATCTTGATCCAATTTGCTAAAATATAAGATAGGTACTATATGTGGAAATCGAAGGATTTCTTCTGGTAGAAATTTTGTATACAGGATATAAAAAAATAAATAAACACCATTGTAAAACCACTAGCTTCTTAGCTCCGCTCAGAATCTAAAAATGATACATATAATTAGGGATACTATAAATTATTCATCATAAATTGACAGGTAATTTTTAAAAAAATGTTAGTTTTTTATAATAGGAATTAATTTTGGATGGTTTTATAAAATATGGTGACTAATAAATATTAAATATATACGAAATTACTATAGATATAGGTACTTATAATTTGAACTTTTATTTGGAACATTACATAAAAACAAACGTTTTTCGGTATAATAATAGGTTATACCTATAAACAGGTCTTTTTAACAACCGTAAGTCATAACATAAGAAAGAGGTTTCTAAAGTAGGTACCTAATTATAATATTATATTTTTATAGCATTATTATTATAACTACATAGATACAATAATTATATTTATTATTGACTATTGTATTACATTTTATTATTTTATAGACTTCTATTAAATTAAATTAAATTATATTTTAATATGTTATTTAAGTATAAGTACTTAACATTTTTTATGATATTATATGATTTATTATGTAACTTTAATGTATTTTTCAATACACTTTTAACATATTAATACTTCAATTTTGATATATTTTCATTAATTTTTATCGAGACTTTTTTTTCCTAAGGTGGGACTTTTTTTACCTGGAATTTTTTTTCGACGATTCAGCCATGAGTCATGACATTGGTGATTAAAATGTAGTGTTTTATAACCATGGTTAAAGCACAGAATAGGTTTAATTTATGGTTAAGGTATTTAATATGAACACTGATGTAAATAAATTCGAGAAATCATCCTACGATACATCACGGTTATAGTATAATTGTGGTGGGATTGAAAGCATTTTATTACAGGAAGGTGGTAATATGATGTACTGATAATTGAGGCATTAAAACTTCTACTGCCCTGGGGCCAAAAAATCTTAGTTGCGGCACTATAGGAGGGGGTTCCTTAATAAAATAATTTTTAAATATGATCGGAAATCATGCTTGTTCTTTTACACACTTGTTTATGAAACAAATATTATTTTTTGCACTTCGGGTTTTGAATGTTTTGATTTAATCGCGGTGATGATTATGTGTAATATTTTATGCTTACAAAGTTTCGACGAGCGACGTCAGAGGTTTCTTCCGGTTCCCAGAATGGCAGGTTAGGTAAATACTAAATATATAATGTTATGTTAATATGTTTCAATGTCGATGGTTGATAATTTTTTATTTATTTTTATTATAATTTAAAGTCGATACCTAATAAAATTAACAATGAAATTACCAAAATGTATTTACTCAAGTACTGAAGTACCTATAATATATAAAAACAATTACACATTTATATATATTTTAAATTAATTTAATATTTATTATGACACAAATTAATAAAAAAGTGATTTTTTTAAAAATGCAAAAAATTTGTCAGAAGTGGGATTCGAACCCACGCCCTCAGATGAGGACCAGAACGCTCAATTCATGCCTGCATTACAGGCCAAGGGTAACCTTGAGTCTGGCGCCTTAGACCGCTCGGCCATCCTGACATGTTTTGTAACTGTTAAATTTGAACTATCTGTATGAGCACATCTGTATAGTAATAACTTGTTTACTTTAACTACCTAATATTTATTTGACATTTTTAGTTCGTGTTTCGGTGTTTATAAAATATATTGTTCGTTTGAGTTTACAATTCATAAAAGCTATTAATAATTTAATATTTTAATTATTAATTAAACATTTTTCATTAGCCAAGAACCACTAATGGGTGGCTGCTTATTCAAAATAATCATGTTCTATAATTACTCTTATCATATAAACTTATTGTGCTTCAAATAGTATAGATTGTTTATGCCAAATAAAAAAAAAATTAAACATTTTAGTTTAGTTAGTTAGGTAGGTACCTTGTGGGTATAACTACCTACCTAATATTAGTATTTACCTAAATGTTAGTGAAGTGATTGTAATTTTATACTAGGGCAACATCTCATTAGACCTCTCGGCTTTGGCAAATAGGACATAAGGGTCTTATAAGGTAATAAACTAATAAATAGATACCTATGTTTGTTCCCAAAGGTGTATTTAAGCAAGTCCAAAGACACAAATTCCTCCACCCCGGCTTTTCATCGTATGCAGTATTGCAGTGGCGGCGATACTATAGCTGTCCAAGTGTCCTTCAGTAACATATACACAATTGTCAATTTGGTGGGTGGGTGGGTGGATGGTTGGATGTTGGGTGATAATTTATTATACTATGACTAATCAGTGTAACATATTTAAAAATATAACACTACTAAATAGGTATACATTTTGAAATAAATCAATTTTAGAAGAAAACGTAGCATAATGTATTTTATATTTACTAGTAAATTATATTAATTTTAATCACAATAATACATACAGTATGTGTGGGCTCTGATTCTTGATATTTTATATTCGGAGCGAATCAATCTTAATTTTTGACAGATTCGATTTTGTGACTAAAAAACGATTGACCTTTGATCCTTTAAATTTATCCCAAATGTTAATATTAGTATTTTCATTACTTGATAACATTTTGACACTTATAAAATTTAAGGTTTAATGCCATGAAACATCATCGTTTTTTTTTTCAATAATTGTCAATAAATAATTTTTTGCTCAATTAAAAAGCTTGAAATTGTGATGACAAATTCCTTATAAGTTGTTTAAAGTGTAATTGAAAAACAATTGAACCAAATTTTTATGATTCGCCGAAGTTAGAATTTTGGAAGAATTTGTCAAAATCACTTAAATGTGCAAATTATTTGTCAGTTTAGAAACAGACGAATGTAACATAGACGTTGTTGTTTTAAAAACTGTCACCAACACTTAAGTACCTACCAAAATAATTAATATTTACCTACCAATTTTTTTTATCCAATTGACGTACCTAGTACGTATTGATCGCCATTTAAATAAATAGTGTATCGCACTGTTTGAGGCGTCAAATCTAAGTAGGTAATAAACGTTGTTTAAAAAACTATTTTCAATCTCTTTTCTAGTTAAGACAAATATTTTTGAAAATTTTTTTTAGCATAGTTGTTACTCGCCGGTGCTGTAAATTATTTACTTTAGTTATGAAGTTCGCTCGAAAATCCTTCCACCACAAAATTTACAAAACGTAGAATTGACATATAATTATCATAACATTGACAGCACACCGTCATAAATTTAACGTTCATATTATTATAATATTATATAATATTATGTAAGAATATTTATATCGATTGGTTTCATTCAATACACTGTCACACCGATGTGTACCTTGTACCTATTGTATTTAGTCAAAGTTCTTGAATCCGTATGACATGACCGTTTTATCACTATTCACTATAATATATGTATTATGTATACACTACTTTTATATAAGTCCTGTGAGTGCATCACAATAAAACTTTTATCTGTCTGTTATATACATCTTGGTATACAGTATTATCTTTGGTTTTTTACTTTGTTTATAACTCACTGCAAAACAACGAGAACAAAATATTTTAATTAGTTGACAAAAACTGTTATTTCATTAGCACATGTACCATACATCACACATTTTCTAAATAGCAAACCGTGTAAGGTCGTACGATATATAGATAGTTTTGAGGATAATACATACAATCGCCAGCATTACCTTCGTATATTATCTATTATCTACTTATGTGTACTGAGAAATAATAATAACAATAATAATAATAATAATAATATATAGTATATATATTATATATAGACTGTTTCAAATTCCAAGGCAGAGCTGTGGTATAAAAAACAATACGGTAGTACGTAGGTAGGTTAAACCTATATATATACAATATAATACGACATATACCTAAAAAATCACGTCCTACACCGCTCATCATCACTCATCAGTGCATCACGTCTCACACTGTGTATTATATACTAAGATGGTGTTGTAATAAGCCAGACTTATACAAGTAAACGACTGTTCATAGACATCTGTTGCAGTGGCTTGTAAATTATTATTCGTAAGAATGAGCAATACCGTCGGGATTTTGGCGGTTTTATTGGCAGCTTTTTCAGCACTGCAGGTAACCACCTATATAACCGGTGAATTTAGAGTCTAGACGGTTATAACAAATTATAACGAGAAAATGCGTACCATCAACATACCACCTGCATTATGTTATACCATCTAATATAATGTCATCGTTTTCGTTAGCTAGGTCGAGGCGAACTATCGTCACTTAGACGATTATGACGGCGCTGCGCTGCTTCCGACGCGTCCGCGGTGTTCCAGTCAGGAGGATCCTATAGCTGCAGTTGCAGGCGTTGCAGGCGTTGCAGCTGGCCTCTTAGAGCCTTTCACGTCGACTTTCATGCCACATTGTCACGTTAAAGGCCAGTACAGTCCGATACACCTGTTGCCTTTTCCCGTTTCGCCGTTGAACATCGCCCGACCGTTTACGCAACTTCAGCAGACCCTGTCTCATCCACCTCTGTTCGGACCTCTCTTTTCGCCTTTTTAATAAGTACCTAGTAGGTGTAACTAAGGTACCTAGTGCAAAAGAAATACAATTCTGGAAACAACAACAACAATATCAGTCTTATCGTTAGTACAGATATCTGCAGTTGTGTTTCTCACGAATTGTTTTCAATTATTCATACTATACCTATGTACGATTTTATGTATACCTACAATAAAATAATTATATTTTATTAAAATTTTAATTTTATACACTTTCGACTTAACGTTAAAATCCTTGTTTTTTTTTTTGTGTATTTATAAACACATTGGCCTTATTTCATGTAGGTACATTTCCATAACATTCTGAATGATTCGTTGTTATGCAAAACGCAGTCATCTTGTTGGAAACACTTATAAACATTTAAACTAGGGTCATTGTTTTCACTTAAAATCAATAACTCCGAGTTGTGAGTTAAATTTGTTTTGTTTTCTTCGATTTTGATTTTTAATTCAAAATATTAAATACGCGTTCTTACGTTTGAAAATATCGTCGTAGAAAACAGAAATGAACTATTCAGATATAGTAATTATACCCTACAGTATTAAATAATATTAATTTTATAAAATATTATGGTATTTTTATTGTTTAATTCAACATACATTTATGTACAGAGTATATTATACAGAATCTTCTACATGATAATTTTAATGATACAAAATGGTTTAAATGGAGATTAAATTAAATTAATATTTTACAATTACCTACTTATCTCAATTAGATAATATTATATGCTTGCAAATTGTTTGTATTATAAAATAAATTCAATTAAGGTTTTATAATATGCATTATTAACTCAAATGGGTACTCAACACAAATATAATATATTTTAATATTATGGTACTTTTCTAATAATTAAAATGTCCATCTTGGTTCCATAGAGAACCTAAATGTTCTCTATCATAAGTCATAAGTCATATATTTGACATTGATATAGACACGAGTACACAATTGTTTTGTTACGTGTTATTTGATGAGTGTTATTAATACCTATTACTAATACTATAGTTCATAAAAATAAGTAATATTATTATAATAATACAATTAGTACATACAACATAAATTGATTTGAATATTATTTTATTAATTGCGATACAGAAAAGATATACAATATACATATTAAATAAACATACATAATATATAGGTAATACTACGTGTCCTACATACAACACAAATTCACATCTACATTCTACAATTAATAAACCAGGCACCGATTATTTAAACATTATTAACAAAATGTAATAATCAATATCATAAAGTATAAATAAAATAATACATAATATTGTATCTATATATATATATATAAATTTTTCAAAATTTTGAATAATTATCAGTTTTTACTAGTACCTATACATACACTTTAACTTATAAAACTGTATAATAATATATTATTATAAATATATTATCGTCTAAATTACCTATGTCCACGTATACATTTAAAAACGTTTGATTTAATTACGATTTGAAATTTTTGTTTGAGGGGAAGTTTATGTAGGTACATTATTTTTCTCGTGCTTTTCCGAGGTTCCGTTAGGTCGCGTTTTAAAACTACCTGGAACTGAATTTAACTATCTTTGTCGCCAACAAAAAAAAAAGGTGGGCAAGTGGGTGTCGCTCTGCTGTACAGTAGGTTACAAGTGGGTCACTGTATAATGGATGATATTAAATTTGAATTCAACGATATAATATCATTGTATAAGAAAAACGATTCTGAGCGGAGACGGTATGTCAGTCTATGTTTAAGACATATTATATACATATCTATGGTATTAAACAAAAAATTGACCTATAATAATTAATAGGTACCTATAATAAATTCCAAATTAATCATATCACAATGTCCATTAGGTACTTATAACGCGTTATACATCAACAAAACCGTGATACTATCATAGATATATAATAGTACACTTTAGAAGTTTCAAGTACCCACGAATAATATTATTCAATCACAACAAAATAACTAAAATAGTTATTCTAGGTTTTTTAATATGTAATTTCGTCCAAATTTGAATTTAAAATGTCTGTAAAAAATAACTGTGTTCATATATTTTTTAGATTTTTTGGTTACAGTATGAACTATTTATGAGAACCTTTGTTTTAAATTTGCAATCCTTAGCTATAAAAACTGAACATTTTATAATTTATTAATTTCAATGATTGATAATTTTCGAGATTTTGATAAATTTTGTCAAAATTTGATCTTTAAATGCTTATAAAAAAAAACTGTGCCTATGTATTTTTAATATTTTTCAACTGCTATTGTAACAGTATATCAGGAGCCTTGTATTAAATTTTTACACTTTTTGGCCCAACAGATAAAACTTTATTGATATTTATAGAAAAAAAAACTAAAAAAAATTGAAAGCTGTAAATGTCCATAAACAGCTCAAAAAGAGTCAAAATATTTTCAAAATTGTATGGTGTATAGAAAATGCTAATTTAAACATTCAGTGAAATTTTCATGTATCTACAGTTATTTGTTTTTGAATTACAACAAACTAAGGAAATCGCTACATGGGAAATCGAGTGAATATTCAATGTTGTAAAAATTTGAATTTCAAACGCTCATAAAAATTTAATTTGACTTTCTTATAGACATTTTTTTTTTTGATAAAGGTAGATAATCTTATAAGGAATATTGTGTTAAATTTTCAAATCTTAGATTTAAAAAGAAAAATTTTTACGAATTCTTAATTCAAAATAATTTGCTAATTTTCGTGATTTTTCCATATTTTGTCAATTTTTGAACTTTAAGTGCTTATAAAAAAAAATTGTGACTAAGGATTTTTAATATTTTTCATCTGCCTTTGAAACAACATATTAGGAGCCTTCTATTAAATTTTCAAGCTTTCGCAACCAACAAATAAAATTTTATTGATATTTCTAGAAAAAAAACTAAAAAAAAATGAAAAATGAAAATGTCCCTAAACAGTTCAAAATAAATCAAAATATTTTGAAAATGTTATCGTGTATAGAAAATGCAAATATAAACAACCAGTGAAAATTTCATGTATATACGTTCATTTGTTTTAGAGTTACACCAAAAACCAAAATCGATTTTTTGGAAAACCAATTTTGCGTAAAAATTCCCGTTTTTCCTTAATTTTTATGTTGTTTTTCCCGGCGCTTGTGAAAACTACTGGGAAATTTATACTTTTGACCCCCCAAAGTACCAACTAGATTCACTTTCCTATCAGAAAAGCTACTGATGAAGAAAATCCAAGCACTTTTACTGTCCTAAAACGTGATGACAGACACAAAAATAAAAAAAAAAATAAAAAAATAAAAAAAAAAATAAAAAAAAAAATAAAAAAAAAAATAAAAAAAAAAACACACATCATTGTAAAATCAATACATTCATCGTTTCACTCAGAATCTAAAATGTCTGAGGAGGAATCAATGCCATATCGTTATTTCATGATATAAAATTTAAATAATATAATATAATACGTTCACGGCCACAGATGAACATGCTGTACACACGTCCAATGCCAGTGGCCGATCACTTTATGGCGCCTTGGGCCTATGGCGACGGACAAACGGACGCGGCCAACTTAGGCGAAGTGTGTGAAACGTGCTACACACATTGCGCCGCTGGGAAGACGGAACTGTGGCGGCACGCGCGCGACGAGCATGGCGCGGACCCGAGACTGTCGTGTCAAGTGCCCGGCTGCGGCCGGCATTTTTTCGCTGCGGCCATATGCGCAGATCACCGTGCTCACCACCTTAACGGCGGCGGTGGCGGCGGTCAGCACGCCGACCACGAGATCGCGGGCCCTAGTGACCGGCCACCGTTGACGTGCGAACTGTGCGGCCACCTGTCCTATAACCGGTCCAAGTACGACAGGCACGTGAGCGCGGCGCACCCTGAAGCCCTGGCCGCCACGTGTGGAGTGTGTCACTCGTACCTGGGCGACGTGTCGTCGCTCATCGACCACGTGCAGAGTGTGCACGCCCTCGAGATCTGTCCCGATCTGTCAGCGACAGAGAAGACTTTGGACAGTGGATCCGATCCGAAGCTGTCGCACCGGCGGAGTATACGGTGCCCGGTGTGCGGCAAGCGGTACGGCAACAACCGCAACATGTATGCTCACAGGCGGGTGCACGGCTTCGCCGATGACGTTTTCCCGGCCCACCCGCAGTCGCAATGGTCCGGTGCACCCACAGCTATGTGCAGCAGCCCGGTGCACCCACAACTATGCAGTATCCCGGTGAATCCATAGCTGCAGCAGTCTGGTACGGTCGCATCGTCGTCCTCTGTTATTGTCGGTGCATAAGCAGTTCACGATCGATTCGCTTGATACATATTATAGTATTAGAAATTACCTATATTTCAACGGATTTTCTGTACATATGAATACTATTATTGCCTTTATTATTGTATATAATACTTATTACAATGACACGTTTAAGCGCTCTTTGCCGTTCACTTGAAAATTTTTGTTTCTGTGCCTGCATTTTCTGAGATAGGTATAATATAATATACTTATTACTTATATTATAAGTTATATGCGGTATACCCTATACCATTATTAGGTACTTCACTACCTATTTCAGTACTTTTGGTACCTAAACATTTTTTGGTTTGAATAAATTTTTTCGCATTATACTTTATTGTTTTGAACTTTATTATGTAGGTACACCTACACGATACGATTATAACTGCGATTGGGTTGAATGACCGACCCAGAGCTCGCCATTATTTTCATATCTTTTGACGAGATATTATAACAGTATTAATATAATATAATTATATAGGATTTTATCGAATATTCGAATGAGTAGGCGAGGTGTGACTGACAAAGCTCTTCTCTGTATATTATTTTTATCTTATTAAGAGTCGCGACATTATAAGCATTATATTATAATTTTTCAACATTGGTGATAGGAAGGCACCTAGTTAATAAATTGTTGATAAATTGATCTATTGTAAACATAAATTGTTTCTTATTTTGTGTTCGCCTGGCCTCGCATTGTAGTAATAGTAACAAGTAACAACATAGGTACCTGTATTTTAAACACTACGCATTGTTGTTACACTACTGTAGCACGGCAGTATATCTACAATATAAGTATAACAGCTGTAAGCTAACAAAATAACTTTACAGTATTTTTTCGTATTTTGACCTGCCGCTAAGTGATTACCAATGAATATAGTTACTATATAGTGGGAAATTGTTACCGACGATAATGGTCCAATCGTAGAATGTTATTCTGTGGTCCAATGTTCATTTGTAATCTCAATCGACGGGAAGCACAAGCTCAGATCTCTGTATAATAGAATATGTTATATAAAATATACGCAGAAAATAAGTCACGTATAACTATGTTCCAAAACATATGATAAATTATATTTGATATTGATAGGTAATAATATCATGTAAATTTATTCGAGAAACGAATGAATCGTGACTGTTCAATGTCTATATACCACGACCATACTGCTGCAGTATTTTCCAACATTCGAGTCTTTGTTGTATACTATGTGTCAATATTATATACCGTAAGTCCGTGAACAAATATAATATATTATATTATATATCATACCATTACCCATACTACAGCTGTGTCGTTTTTAATTAAACATTTTGTTCCGACGTCGATATAATATATTAGGCATATAAAAATGTTTTTTTTTATTTATATATTAATAAAAATATGTTTATGCAATATTTCTACTACCTACTTGTAATAGTAATATGATACGTAACCAATTGCAACCCTATAAAAAATAAAAACAAACAAAACATTTATTTTACAGACAAACATTCATTTATATATTATACGTGTATATATTTATCATAATTATTAATTATTAGACTTTTAAATGGAAGGCCGAATAAATCTATGTTTTTTTTTCAATCATAATTTTAACAAACAAAATATTATTAAGACACGAATATACGAAGATACGAGTGAAGCCTGAAATTGTCTCACATTATTATAATATAATAAGTGGTTATAATAAATTACTGTCGTCTACTATAATAATAAACTAATCGCATTATTATTAAATTAAATATGAGAAGATATATTCAGTATATTCGGTATATTCAGTGGCGCCGAAGTCCTAAAAATTTAGTAGGGCAAAAAATATTTGAAACGGCCCCAATATTTAAATATTAGCCCCAATGGCGTACATGAAAGGGTGGAGGACCGAGGAGGTATTAGTTTTTACCTAAAAATTATTGATGTTCAGTTTTAAAAGAAAATTTAAATCACACTTTTTGTAATCCCCACCAACTAAGACGAATTAGAGACTATTTTGTTTCTTTCTGAAAACAGCCCCATGCTAAATTTTCAAAAGATGTTCGGCGCCACTGCCTATATTAAAGATACAATACATTATATTTGAACTTGGATGCTATTGATATTATATAGCTAGGTAGGTACATATTATTCTTGCGTATATATTTTTAGTAAACCATCAATTTTCGAATGGTGTCTAAAGGTGTCGTAAGCGATCTAACATAATTTTTTATAATCTACCTAACCCAGTAAAAAACACTAATATGATTAGATTTTAAATATAAAATATGACATGTGATTTATCGGATACAAGATACAATAATTATTATACTCGCATTCATTATAGCTAACAGTTATTCACTGACTATTAATGCGTGCGTAATGTACATATATATACTACTCTTTATTAATTGTATTAAACAGGTGATAACTTTTTACATTTTTGTTACAATACATGCATTTTCAAAAAAATTATTTTCAACATAAAATAATTCAGGATAATAAAACTACAATACTTTACGTGAATGGGGGTTTGCGTTGGCATTTAACAAATACGCCTCATTGGTTCATTGGATAAATAATGTTAATGATGGTTGGTGTTTGGATTGTTGGTGATGGTGCAAGTTGGAATAAATAATTGAGAGAGTGATCATTGGTGTGATCGGGTGTGTCTTTGAGCCTCGAGGAACTTTAGAATTAAATAGAGATAAAAGGTAAGGAGAAGCTATTTTACCACATACCAAACTATGTATAAGAAACGAAGTTCCAGTGTTAATCTGCGATTAACTAGGTAGCAAGAAATTTAAACAAACTATTTGTAATAAGTATGGTTTTCGTCAGTTTTCGATAGATCACTTATACGTCATGCTTCATACGTATAAAATACTGTATCGTTCTCGATAAATAAAACGATTTCTTTGTTGCAGCCTGCTGACGTGACGGTAATAATAATATAATATGAGTGGTGCAGCAGTCGAAATCGGGAACAACAGGTGTAATGACATTGACGGGACGACCGTGCGGGTACGCGTGATCGCACCGTCGTCCATGGGCAAACCGTCGAACCTAGAGGTGTTCAGAAGGTTCTTGCGGGACGCGGGCATGACGGCGCGCGTCGATGACTCGATTTACCGGGCCGGAGCTGACCCGTTCTACGCCAACACCGACCAGTTCCGGGCGGCCGACCTGGTGGACGCGCTGACGGACAGCAGCATGGTGGTGTGGTGCGCGCGCGGCGGCGAAGGCGCGTCTCGTCTGATACCGTACCTGGAGGCGTTGCCGGCTGACCGGAAGCAGAGGATTCGGGACGCCCGGAAAACGCTGGTCGGTTACAGCGACGCGACGGCGCTGCACGTGTACCTGCAGACGGTGTACGGGTGGCAGACGGTGCACGGCACAATGTTGGAAATGATCGCCGGTGGCACGGTGGACAGGCGGTCGGTGGACGCACTGGTGGCCCTGGTGACCGGCCGATCGGACCGGGTCCGGTACGAACTGCGGCTGGTCCACGCCGACGGCCCAAAGGACTTGCGGCTGGCGTTGGCTGTCTCCAAGGTAGCGGGTGGCAACCTGACGCTAGTCGAGAACTCGCTGGGCACGTCGTGCGGCTTCCGGGGTGACGGTAAGATCGTGTTCTTGGAGGACGTGCGAGTCCAACCGTACTCGGTGGAACGAAGCCTCGATCACATGAAGCTGGCCGGCGTGTTCGATGGCGCCACTGCCGTCGTGTTCGGTTCGTTCAGTGTGGAAGAGCAGCCCGCGGGTAGCTGTACCGGCGTACCGTCGTCGGACGACAACCTGATCGACCTGGTATTTCGGCGATTCGCGGCCACCCTACCGTTTCCCGTGTTCCGCGTCGATGGCATCGGTCACAGTTTCGTCAATAACCCGCTGCCGCTGAACACCGAGGCCAGAGTGGTGGGACCGGCGCGGTTTGACGACGCCACCGGAACATCGATTTACACTTTGACCGTCGACAACGTCTACAATACTGGTGCGCGGAGCTGTATTCGCCAACCTGCACCGCTTGACCAAGCAGCTAAGTCTGCAGGTGTAGGCGTGTAGCTGTCGCAGGCGTGCGCTGCGTCACGATGCATGCCATGGCGCCATGACTCGGACCAGCTGTGACTTCGATAAAAGGCCGTACCTAATACTATACCCCATTGGATACATGGTCCTTACTTTTTTTTCAAACAGCTATAATATTGTAAAACTGCTCTATACAGAATCCTACCTAAATTAAACATTTTGTAAAAAAAAAATAACCTAGAAAATAAATATTGAAGAATAATTTATATACCTACTATGGTTATCTACTTCAAAACACTTGTGCTACGGGATTAAGTTCATTTTGGGCCCGGGGCCAAGCAATTTTAAGGGCCCATAAACATAATCGAAATATTGGTTGCCCACACATAAATATTTATGTATTTATATATATATTAATATTTTATTAATATTTATATATTTCAGAAAAAAAAATTGTTTACTATATAGTATTAAGTATTATGTATATTAAATTTGATCATTTAAATACTTTTTTATAAAATGTAAGTGTTTGAACAATGGATACTATATAATATATATACTTAATAAATTATGAATATTATTCAATTATTGTATAAATGTGTTCATTATTATAGGTAATATTCAAAAAAACATAAACAGTTTTATAGCTAAATCTATATAGGTACCTAGTAATATTGTTTCAATCGTCGTACTCATGTATTACTATAAATTCGATTTCCTTACCATTATCATCCTGCTAAAAATTAGACGACATTGTCAATATTACGATTGCATAATAATAACATATCCATTATCGATATATTATGATAGCAATATAGCCTATAGGAAACGTTAATGTATTTATATTTCTAATTTAGTAAAAAAAAAAACCTATTAACCGCTAGGCACCAGGGCCGAGGGGCCCACTATTGTTTGATATCTGTTGTGGGCCCGGGGCCATGGCCCCCTCTGCTCCCCCCTTAATCCGGGCTTGTGTAGTTTATAGAACTTCGATTTCAAATAATATATCCATAATATTTTTTCCCATAAAAATTACTTACTATAGTTTTACTAACAAATTCGATATTTGATTTACTACTATAGTATAGTAATCCATGGGTCATTGATCAACTAAACAATTAATTCGAAAACAAAAGTCATACCTCATCGTCCATCGATGTGAATGAAGCCCATACAGTGACAGGATTGTGGAAATAGTTTTTCAGTATTTCTAATACTTATAATAGTAATATGATAATGATACGTAACCTATTGTAACCCTATAAATAAACAGAAAACATTTTTTTTTTTTTTAATTGATCTTTTAAAGCCCGGCGACTATGGCCATTAGCTGATTGTAGGGGTTTTTATTGTAAGTAGTAGGGTTTGCAGTTGTAGGGTTATTACACGTGTGTGTTGTGTTTGGCAGAATTTCTATTGGGGCACCCGTAGGTTTCTGCCATGCCCCGGAGTGGGGGATGGCGGCACTTGTTCTCCGGACACCGTGACTTACCCGGATAAAAATGCCGCCCAGTGGCCGAGAGAATCGAACCCGCGACCGCCAGCGCCGCAGACGACGTGTTCGACCGCTCGGCCACCTCGTCCCCCAGAAAATATTTATTTTACGGATAAACATCCATTTATATAATACATGCATACAAGGGCATCCATCTTCGGAAATCCTGGGGGGGGGGAGTTGACTGGGTGTCCAGGTACACTGTATTTTTGGCTGCGTACGAGTTGATTCCCGGGCCATTAGAGGGTACGTACGAGTTGATTTCCTATTGTTATATATTAATTATCAATAGATTGCACGAGTAAAGAGTTTAGCTTTTAGCTTTCATTCTAAACTCAACAGTTGTTTCTATAGTGGGCACCCAAATATTTTTGTATTTATAAATGAGCTGTTAGTATAGTACAATCAGAAACGTATATTAAATGCAGGAGTAATGGAACTAAGAAATCTAAAAAACAACAAGAAAAACAATTTTTTTTTTAAGAGAAGAGATGTCACGGTATGCTGGTAATCTCATTACCAGATACCAATTTATAAAAACAATGTGTTACAAATTTTTACCAAATTATTAAATTTTTTTTATATTTTTTTACCTAGTTACTATACTAAATGTTTTTAATAATAATTTTTTACCTAATTACTACTAAATGTTTTTAATAATAATAAATATATTATATAATATAATTCAATAAATAATTAATAAATAAAAATTGAATGATTTTCAAAATATAAAAACTAAAAAAAAACAACATTTGTGAGAAACTTGTCAGCCAACCTCGGACCTCCTCGTGGTGTTTCTTGGGTTATGCTAATAGGCTGAATATTTTACTAAATATTGAATAAAATATATAATGACCTGGGAATCAACTCGTACGTACCTCTTAATGACCCGGGAATCAACTAATACATGAGAAAGGTCTCGGGAATCAACTCACCTATTGCGGTATTTTTCAATAATATTGACCATTTTGTTAATCTGTTAATTGCTATATATAAATTTACGCAGCATAATTATATTATATGATTCAATGACTGTATTCATACAATAGTATTTAACAATTCAGCATATCTATATAATTATTTATAAAATAAATAAGAGTAGGTAGTTCAATTTCTATTAAAATGTAAATGTATAACATAAATAATTCACTTTATTAGTTAGGCAATTAATACTTAATACAATTAGTGTCAACTAGGTACTACATACTTAAAAAAGTAAAAAACATTATGTAACTAAATATTAATAAACTTTAAAATAAAAACTGTAAATTCCTTTTATTTTTAGAAAATCCGTCCACAACATTTTGAATTTCATTTAAACATTAATTTTCTGTCTATATATACTAAGTAATAAGTATACATAGTCCAAAATTCCAGATAATCTCGGCTTTGTCGTTGTAGACCTTAACCATGTTTTTACACGGCGAAACGTACTATAATTAATGACCTTTCAATCGTACATTTTGTAGGAGGTATGGACGTATGGTCATGTAAATGATGATACATTTTTGAATTGACGAAAAAAGTCACAGTCTGAAAGTATGAAATATTATATTCTTCATTAATTTTATGATTATCAATTTTCTTTATTCAATGTATCAATTATAATATAATTATGTTTAAATATTAAATGAATAATAGACTTGGAAAATATAGGGGGGGACATTCCCCCCAAAGGACGCCCTTGCATGTATATATTTATCATAAATATTAATTATTAGACGTTTAAATGGAAGGCCAAATATATCTCTGTTTTTTTTTTCAATCATAGTTATTAACAAACAAAATATTATTAAGACACGACCATACGAAGATACGAGTGAAGTCTGAAATTGTCTCACATTATTATAATATAATAAGTGGTTAAAATAAATTACTGTCGTCTACTATAATAATAAGCTAATCGTATTATTATTAAATTAAATATGAGAAGATTATATTGAAACCGATTCAACGTACCTACGCCGTACGGTTTGGTCGTATTTATTATAATATTGTCAGTTACTCACTATTGATTGTTTATAGTTGTTTGATGTTTCAGTCGTTATAAACAAGCTGTACGCCTGTACCTATATAATATACATATACCGTGTGTCCCAAAAATCAGGGGCCACTTTACTACTCATTACCATGTAAATATATTTCAATTCTGTTTGCGGGACATTAAACTAGACTAATGGATCGTAAATTTCTTTGACTCACAATGTTTTTAACTCATGTATTTTGCGCATGCGCAATAAAACTTACATTTTTTAAATGGTAACCCGTAATTTTAATATCATATTCGGGTTCATCGATTTTTTTCAAGTCATTTTGATGTATCAACTTATGTCCTAAACCCAAAATTGACTTAACTAGAGCTAAGTAAAATTTAAATAATTTAAAAATTCAATTTAATTAATTTTTTTTTTCTAACTGTACGTACACTTATTTTTTTCTTCTAAACACCATGAAACAAACAAACAAACAATCAAAATTATTATTATTAAACTAATTACCTAACTATTTACTATTTATGAATTATTATCTTATTTTATTATTACGAATTATAAAATAACATAGTTTAAACATGTATTTTCAAGAAACAACATTTCTATTTTATTTTTTTTACCATTACTATACATTTTTATTTACAATTTAATTCACAGAAATTACAGACATAAGCTATTCAATAAACTAAGAAAAAAATAAGTACGTACAGTTAGAAAAAAAAATTAATTAAATTGAATTTTTAAATTATTTAAATTCTACTTAGCTCTAGTTTAGTCAATTTTGGGTTTAGGACATAAGTTGATACATCAAAATGGCTTGAAAAAAAATCGATGAACCCGAATATCATATTAAAATTACGGGTTGCCATTTAAAAAAATGTAAGTTTTATTGCGCATGCGCAAGATACATGAGTTAAAAACATTGTGAGTCAAAGAAATTTACGATCCATGTTTAATGTCCCGCAAACAGAATTGAAAAATATTTACATGGTAATGAGTAGTAAAGTGGCCCCTGATTTTTGGGACACACGGTATATATATGTATATATTATTAAAGATACAATAGGTACATTATATTTGAATTTGGATGCTGGTGATTTTATATAGTTAGGTAGGTACATACTATTCTTGCATATATATTTTTAGTAAACCACCAATTTTCGAATGGTAGCTGTACCTACCTATAGGTGTCGTAAGCCCTAATAATCCTTAAATATGATGTTTAAATATTATCGTGCTCAAATTATCGTTCGATTAAATTTGGCAACGTTGGGAAATAAATTACATATCGAGCGTTCTCAATCGTGTTACCAAAAATAAAGTTCTCAATAGTATTTTACCGTCGTAAGCGATTTACCATACATTTTTATAATCTACTAACTACCTAACCTAATCAAAAACCCACTTGTCGATAAATATGAAATGCGATTTATCCGATACACCAAACAATAGCTACTTTAGTCTCATTCTAGTGGATATTCCACAAAATTATACTTACTCTCATTTTCACTTGATTAAGTTATTGTGTCAATAATGATTAACCGAAAACCCACATGTCGATAAACATGATTGCCGAAGTGCCGACTGGATATTAAAATATATGAAATGCGGTTTGTTAGATGCACCACACAATAATTATTATTTATTATACTCTCATTCTAGTGGATATCCCACAAAATTATACATACTCTCATTTTCACTTGATTAAGTTATTGTGTCAATAATGATTAACCAAAAACCCACATGTCGATAAACATGACTGGATATTAAAATATATGAAATGCGGTTTATTGGATACACCACACAATAATTATTATACTCTTATTAGTCTCATTCATTCTACCAGTTATCCATCGACTATTAGTGCGTAATGTAAGTATACTACTCTTTATTTATTTTATTAAACGGGTGATAACATTTTTACATTTTTGTTACAATATACATGCATTTTCAACATAAAAGAATACAGAATAATAAAACTACAATACTTTATACTTGAATGGGGGTTTGCATGTGCATTTATCATAATAGGCCTTATTGGTTCATTGGATAAATATTGTTGGTGATGGTGCAAGTTGGAATAAAGAATTGAGAGTGTGATATTTGGAGTGATCTGATGTGTCTTTGAGCCTAGAGGAACTTTAAAATTGAATAGAGATCAAAAGGTAAGGAGAAGCTATTTTACCACATAACAAACTATGTACCTATAGGAAATGAATTTCCAGAGTTCCTCTGCGATTAACTAGGTAGCAAGAAATTTGAACAAACTATTTATAATAATTAGTATGGTTTTAGCCAGTTTTCAGTAGATCAATTAGTATAATAATATATAATATATATATAATACAGTTATATACGTCACGCTATACGTGATTCAGTAAATAAAATGATTTTATGTTGCAGCCTGCAGACTTGACGGTAATAACTAATAACTAATAATAATATAATATGAGCGGTGCAGCAGTCGAAATCGGGAACAACGCATGTAATGATAGTGACGGGACGACCGTGCGGGTACGCGTGATCGCACCGTCGTCCATGGGCAAACCGTCGAACCTAGAAGTGTTTAGAAGGTTCTTGCGGGACGCGGGCATGACGGCGCGCGTCGATGACTCGATTTACCGGGCCGGCGCTGACCCGTTCTACGCGAACACCGACCAGTTCCGAGCGGCCGACCTGGTGGACGCGCTGACGGACAGCAGCACGGTGGTGTGGTGCGCGCTTGGCGGCAAAGGCGCGTCCCGTCTGATACCGTACCTGGAGGCGTTGCCGGTTGACCGGAAGCAGAGGATTCGGGACGCCCGGAAAACGCTGGTCGGTTACAGCGACGCGACGGCGCTGCACGTGTACCTGCAGACGGTGTACGGGTGGCAGACGGTGCACGGCACAATGTTGGAAATGATCGCCGGTGGCACGGTGGACAGGCGGTCGGTGGACGCACTGGTGGCCCTGGTGACCGGCCGATCGGACCGGGTCCGGTACCAACTGCGGCTGGTCCACGCCGACGGCCCAAAGGACTTGCGGCTGGCGTTGGCTGTCTCCAAGGTAGCGGGCGGCAACCTGACGCTAGTCGAGAACTCGCTAGGCACGTCGTGCGGCTTCCGGGGTGACGGTAAGATCGTGTTCTTGGAGGACGTGCGAGTCCAACCGTACTCGGTGGAACGAAGCCTCGATCACATGAAGCTGGCCGGCGTGTTCGATGGCGCCACTGCCGTCGTGTTCGGTTCGTTCAGTGTGGAAGAGCAGCCCGCGGGTAGCTGTACCGGCGTACCGTCGTCGGACGACAACCTGATCGACCTAGTATTTCGGCGATTCGCGGCCACCCTACCGTTTCCCGTGTTCCGCGTCGATGGCATCGGTCACAGTTTCGTCAATAACCCGCTGCCGCTGAACACCGAGGCCAGAGTGGTGGGACCGGCGCGGTTTGACGACGCCACCGGAACATCGATTTACACTTTGACCGTCGAAAACGTCTACAATACTGGTGCGCGGAGCTGTATTCGCCAACCTGCACCGCTTGACCAGGCAGCTAAGTCTGCAGGTGTAGGCGTGTAGCTGTCGCAGGCGTGCGCTGCAGCGTCACGAGGTATGTCATGGTGCCACGACTCGGACCAGCTGTGACTTCGATAAAGGGCCGTACCTAATACCCCGATGGATACATGGTCCTTAATTTTTTTCCAAACAACTATAATATTGTAAAACTACAGACTCTATACAGATAACTAAATTAAAAATGTTGTAAAAACAATGTCCTCGGAAATAAATATTATAGAATTTATATAGGTACCTACTATGGTTATCTAGTTCAAAACCCTTGTGCTGTGATAGCATAATACATAATATATAATTACATAATACTTTTTTTATAAATTGTAAGTGTTTGATTAATTAAATTAATATACATAATAAATTATATATATTATTGTATGAATGTGTTGATTATTCTAGGTAATATTCAAAAGTTAACATCATAAACAGTTTTATAGCTAAATCTATAATAGGTACTTATAGTGTCTTAGTAATATTGTTTCAATCGTCGTACTCATGTATTACTATAAATCCAATATCCTTAAAACTATCATCTTGCTAAAAAATAGACGACATTGTCAATATTACGATTGCATAATAATAATAATAATAATAAAATATCCATTATCGATATATTATCATAGCATTATATCCTATAGGAAACGTTAATGTATTTATATTTCTGATTTAGTAAAAAAAAAAATCATGTTATCCACTAGGTGCCTGGGCCGACTATTGTTTGATATCCGTTGTGGGCCCGGGACCATGGCCCCCACTTAATCAGGGCTTGTGCAGGTTATAAAACTTCGATTTTAAATAATATAGCCAATAATATTATTTGGTATTTTATTTGCCCGGCGTTTGTACAGCTGGGTATTGGATCAATTTCAGGTCTATCATAATAATTTGATACCTATACAACTCGTTATAGGCGTATTTTATGAATGTAATATTTAAAATAATCATAATAATACTATAGTATATTACATATAGGTGATAACACGACACTTATGATAGGCATTTGATAAACTATAGTTGTAATTTGTGAGCTAATTTTGTCGGTATTTCTGATGTCACTATATTTTATTATTTCGCCATATTTAAATGCAGTTTAACGTCAATTATCCGCACTAATTGTGGTCAAGGGGTGAGCGGATAATCAAACAATTACTAAAGATGTACTATGTATACACTGTAGTTTGAATGTTTGATTATAATGTTATACCTACATACACATAGGTACGTCATTTTCGTCGATGATTGATAAAACTGTGTAAGTAAATATGTATATGATTAAGTACAATATTATTTTTAAATGTACATTTACCTGTCTACAAAATGTACCTACCTATTTATAATCAATTATTAAAAAAGAACGAATGAAAAATCTTTGTAAATCTTTTATTTGTGTGATAAATGATAACTCAGTGCGGATAATCGACATTCGATGCTCTACTGTAAATTATGAAAGTGCCTACGCTATATTTAATTGGATATCGTACACCTAGGCGCAGGCGCCATAAAATATATTTTCCTAATATTATTTATTATATATTTAAAGGCTCTAGACACGTCCTAATGAACAGCAGATCGTTACCAACTTACGAATATTAGTAATCTATAATATTGTACAATTTTTATTGAAAGTTTGTTGTAACTTGGTACTTATTTACGTTTTTAACGTATACCTATTCAATATTTTTTTAAAACAAAATAAAATATAATATTAATATTTTATAAATAAGCTACATGTTTTAAATTTGTCCCGACAATTTTTATTATTTGCCCTTTAAACTGTGTAACATCCCTTGCCCAATTTTACCAGTCCGCGCCTGCTTAGGAGTGCGTATTTTTATATAATTTTCTGAATCTTTAATATTTCTTCTGACCCAATTTCATTGGCTGAATCAAAATATTGCAATATTTACTTTAGGTACAGTGCCAGGCGTGCTGAGGGGCCATGCCCTCCCCACATCAGCCGTATTGTTTTTTGTTGATGTTATATCAGTGCGTCTATATACACTACATCATAGAAAAGTATATTATACTATAATACGAGTACGTCAGTACTATAATAATAATTAATATGAATATGAATGTATATGATGTGTAATTAATATCTTAATATAGCGATAGAAATTGTATTTGTTAATAATTTTTACTGTCCCCCTCATCTTAGATATCCTGCAGGCTACGCCACTGTGCTTAGTAAATAATGTGCTAATAAATAATAATATATTAATAAGTCGAAGCAATAGTTCTTATTTTCCATGTGAACTTTATAGTTTCATTTATAATATATATTATTATATTATCTATAGGTAATAACACAACACTAATAACTATTATGATATGTTATAAAATAATTATTTATATAACATTTAAATTGTTTATTGTACTACATACTATTTTAATGGAGCTAAACAATGTTGGATAAGTTTTTTTAAGGAATGCATGCTCTAATTACGGTATGCACGTTTTAAATTAAGTACCTATTTGGCTATTTATCTTCAATGTAGGAAGGTACCGTTTATATAATATTATGTACAATTAATATACCTAGGTACATTGTATTTCACTAATTCACTATATAATAGTAGGTAAATGATTTTCGTTTTAACAGTATTGTCTATTACATTTATTTAATATTTATTTATAAATATAAACGGCAATATTAACGAAATTAGGTATAAGTTAATATAATAATTAAATAGAATATGAGGAAACAAATTATAAAATAGCTAAAAATAAAACAGATAACATAAAACGGTAGCCAGAGAGCTGGACTATAATTGACAATTAAATAAATCAACAAGACAATGTCACAACGATTAAATAATAATATGAATCTAATAATTTATGTTTTACTCATTCGTATATTATAGGTATACGTTTTAATTAAAGATTCACTTTGGAACTGAAGACTGAGCTTTAATTAAATCGTATAAGGCTTGTTGATACATAGGTAACGTCAGTAAATATTTTATAAATTCATAGTTTAGACGTGGTTTAGTGGTCGGTGGTGGTTTAGCCGTCTGCCACGTGTTTGTATCGGTACTCGGCTTAGTATAACCGGGTGTGGAGTTCAATTGGTGTGACGAACTCAATAAATAGTCTAACGGCGTCTGGTTCGGGCCGAGAAACGGATGCGTGACTTTGGAGGACGACGTGTCGGGAGGGAGAATTGGGAGAGTTTGCGCAGGATGAGTGGTCGGATGACCGTTGGCGAGCATTTGGTTTTGACCATGGGCCGCAGGTGGTTCTTGCAGTGAAACGGGATTGATCCGCAAATCGGTCAACAGTTTTATCAGTTCTTGGTTGTAATTATTGTGACTGACGGGTTCTATTTTCACTGAGGCCGGGTCGGGGGAACGGGACGACGACGACTGTGGAATGGCGAAGGACGACGGTTGTAGATGGTGTGGTGCGGGCGCAGGAGCAGACGAAGGTCCGGTTTCGACGATCGGCGGCGGAACGGAAACCGGAAGAGGATTTCCGGCGGGTCCTTGCGACGGCATCGGCGGTTCGGCCTTCTGCAGGTTGTATCCGTTGTCGGGCATTCGCATGTCGGGGCCTAACGGTCGTTTGTGGATAACACCCGGGACCATCAGATTAGATGTTGAGCCGTCGGTGGACCCGGGGAAATGCATAACCGAAATCTGATCGCTTGCCAAAGGCGATGAAGTCGCACCGGTCTCCGGCGTTTTCTGACCCGCGAACGACGAGTGGAAATTTTTTAGGACGTCCAACAATTCAGCATTGAGCGTAGATCGCGCACTCGGGACGGCCAAATTCGTCGAAAACGGTGTCGTGGGCCCGGCCTCGTCCGTCGCTGGAACGCCACAGGTGGGCGTGCAGTGAACCTGAAAAAAAAAGCGGATCATTCGTATCGCCGTTTCGTTCTCGGATGACGATCGCGGCACATAATAATATAGTATCATCGTAGTAATAAGACGAGTAAAAAATAATTCGACAATAATATTACCATAATAATATTATTAATACGTTACCCGCACAATATCCGCGTGAACGCGAAATCGCGGCGTAGAGTGTATAAGTCAAACGTACCTTATTAGAAACGATCGCCACTGAAGCCAGGATGATCGAAATCCCATTGATCGACATATTTTTTAATTGTTTTTCCGCTGTATGCGACTAGGACGATCGCGTTTGGCGGTATACGTCAATGTTCAGGAGCGACCGCTGTTTTATACGCCTACCTATACGCGATACATGAAAAACACGCATAAACAATTGCCGTGTGTAGCTGACATACCGTTATTACCGCACTATCGAATTTCTTATTTACAGAAGATGTGCGTGTCGTGATAAATGGATAAAATAACATATCATCGTTATGGCATTGTACAGATCACGCAGTCGGTCCGATAGAAGCGAAATGTCACTAGTGTCTTGTCATAATAATATTACTCTTATCGCATTTTTATTTGTGTATACTATATCATTATGTTTTGACATACCTGCGCGTCTATGCCATAATAATATAATATATTATGTTCAGATACAAACAAAGCCACCGAGGCACCTGCCTAATATTTTACTCTGTTGTTAAGTATAGGTATATATACCTACTACCTTTGAGCTTTTGTTACTACCCAAAATCCAACGTTTATATTACTATAACTTATGAAGTTATATTATATTGTTAAACGTACAGCGTGTCCAGTGAACGCATCAATGCGCGTTTTAATGTTTTGAACGTTTTTGAATTCAGAGGAACCTTTGTAGTAGGTACTTGTCCTACCTCTACGTTACTGCATGTGACAGCTCCTAAGATCTCTCTAAATTATTATAGTCATTAATAATTATTGTAACTGAGATAATATTATTCATGGTATTATGATTAAAATTAAATTCAGCTATAGCTACTTAGGTAACGTGTTGGTGTAATAGCCACAGCTAATCCGAGTTCTAGTGGTGAGAGATTTTTTTTTCTACTTGTAAAAAAGGCTAAGTAAATAAAATATGAGATCTTTAAGGACTATAAAGATGTGATATCATGAATAAATGCTAAGTTTATTGAATTTAAGTAAACTTATTTTGTTTCAATAATTTATTTACTTGGCGAGGAATTATTTCTTAAAAGAAACAAAGTGTGATGAACAAAATAATTAAATGGTGAAGGACTATTAAAATATAACTTATTATTATTTAAAAAATATTATTATTAATGTTTATATACATATTCTAAATAACCCCTCGCCAAGTAAATAAATTATTGAAACAAAATAAGTTTACTTAAATTCAATATAAGTACTTTTTTTACTTAGCCATTTTTACACCTAGTTTACGAAGGTTTTTTGTTGTGATATCACTAATTTTTATCATCAATACAAATAATGATAATGTATCTATATTTTTATCTACATATATAGTATATTTTATAAAGTACACATCAGTTAAAGTTTTTTTCTAAGCTGTATTATTTTGTATTACCTATATACCTCCCTATTTATATAAGTATTTTTTTGTATTATGTACTTTATTCTTTTGCATATAAATTATAAATATAGGTAGGCATATTTTTATAGAATATATTAATATTAAAGCATATTTTTGAATATTTTATTATGATTTTTAAAGAATATTGGAAGAATGTTTTCAAATTTTTAAGAGAATATTAGCATCTTATTTTGGCTATTTTAAGAAAATAAGGCCTCTAGTTATATCCAGTGTTGGGTAAACTATACTTTTGAAGAATAATAAAATGATGAAACTTGTTGTTAAGAACATTATTTGCGTTTGTATGTTGGTTTTTTACGAAAGTTCAATTTTTTTTAAGTTGTGCTTATATAATATAAGGTAAATTAAAAATGCTCATAACTCACTTAAAAACTGAGTTATCGTAAAAAGCCCACATGCAAACATGGATAATGTTCCTACCATCAAGTTTCATAATAGATCGGTTCACTCTAATATTTTAACGGAGTTGAATGTGTCATACATTGTATTATTTGCTGTGACAAAACTACTTTTTTTTCAATTACATCGAATAATTCTCGCCGCGTTAATAAAACGGTTTTATTTCCGGAATGAAAATATATACTTGGGTAAATGGTAATCCAATTCGTAAATAATTTCAAAATAACCATATTAGTTCCAATATTATAATATACTTAAGTTATAAAATAAAAATATAATATTCGTCAAACGCCAACGGTATTTAAAAAAAAAAACAAAACGTAAATGAATGTTTTGTGGGTCTTGGGAGTGTTATTACTTATTACCCCGCACTCACGTAAGCCACTCTCTGTCTATTTCCTATTTAGTTATATCATACATCTACGGGACTTAAGGAAGGCGTATGTTACATTATTACTACACCAAATGTACCTACACAGACACACGCTGTTCAAAGACTGTATATTAAGAGGGCTGGAGCGTAATCCATTCTAAGGAGTAAGAACTAGGCATTTTATGTTTTTAGTTCATATTATGGGTCTTGTACTCTTGTGAGTTGTGAATGTGTTATATTAAGTAAATGAACATTATTAGTGTGTGTAATTCGTAGTACCGATCACGTTGTATAGGGGCATCACAATACGTCTGTCATTTTACCTATTCGCATGCACATGTCACCACATATTACTTTATAAAGTTATTACAAACATTTTTTTTCAAAAAATACTGCCAGTGACTTCAATCACTATTCACTACCCTCAGTAGGATGTTCCGATTTAAATTTTGAAAACAGATTTGAATTCTCCTCTAAATGTACTATGCTTTGGCAGTCGTACATTTTTCATATTCTACCTATATCAATGTATTTAAATTTTAATTATGAATACGATCTATTTTTACTCTTTTTGTTAGTAAATTTCTAAGTAAAAAAAAAAAATAAAAAACAGAAAAATGAAATTGTCAAAGAATAGATAATTTAGTGACGAATTCAAATCTGCTTCCAAATCCTTAATCAAAGTCAAACCGTTTATATATGGCAACTGTGCACAGGCCGTTCACTCGCCGTTGAATGGCTCTCGAGCTTGAGACAATAACACCACACCAGTCACCAGGTAACCGGTTATCTTTATGCAGACACGTAATAACGATATTATTATTAGATATTATATTATAGGTAATATAGCTGCAAGTTTGTAACAGTGAAAAAGTATTCAAACATAAATGCTGAATGTAAATAATTCTATACTATAATTTTGAGTAGGTACAATAGGTAATAATACCTATGTGATTTATTATATTTTATGTTATAAAATAGATTATTAATTCTATTTTTTTTATTTTAACAAATATAATAGTAGGTAGTATAAAGTAACTAATAACTATAGTATTATTACTCAAATTAAATTCTCATTTAAATACATTTATAAAGTTCCTATAATAATAATCAATAGTTCTTATTTTTACTAATAATTAGTATATTGTGATTTATTATAGGTATTAATAGCTGATCCCGTGCACTTCGTTGCCCGTTAAATGTATCAACTTTATATGACTCAATTTTTTTTCAATTCGTTATTTAATATTCGGTGCATGGTGTTTGTTTTTTTTTATACTTTTCCGTTGCTCGGAATAAAAATTCTGGTTCTCATCAGTACATTATTAGGTAGGCAATCTACCTGCGGTAGATCTCGGACTCCGTGCTGTTTGTACGTAAATGTATGATTTAACTCGTAAAGTATCAAAGTTATACTTAGTTTGTCGTTTTTACTTAATCAATTTATACAAAATCCTTCCTAACCTAACCATACTAAAACCCGATGAATAAAAAAAAAGCTAATTTAACCCTTTGTAAATTGACCTATCTTCTTCCCAGACGGCCAGACCTCTAATATTTATCCACAAACATTAATTTATATATATATACATCTAACTATAACTATATAAATACACAGACTAAACTCTGGAACTACTTATCAGATCTTCTTGTATATATTATTATTATATAATACGTATATTGACAAAAGATAATAATACAAATCAACAAACATGCCCGATTAACCAATATATTATACACCGGTGGATTTTCCTAAAATGTTCTCTCATATAAACCTTCTCCGTGAAATACTTTTCGTTAAAAAAAAAATCAATAAGATCTGAAAAGTAGTTCCAGAGTTTAGCCTGTACAGAGATTTTCACTTCACATGTTTATAGTTAGATATTATATATTATAATTTATATTTAAAAAATAAAGGGAATAGTTTTTTTTTTTTTTTTATTATTATTATGGAGCTTAAAAACCCATTATTGCTTATTGACGCATAATAATAATACTGATTAAATATGTATATGTAGGTACAATAACAAATCGTCGATGTATATAATAGGTAAATGGTTTGTTTGTTCTCGTGGCAACGAATTAAAACGATTCACTATAATTCTTGGAAAGAAATTTATAGAATGAAACATTTTATAGGACGTCACTGAATTTAGGTACCTATCCAAAATTCAAAAAGAGAAATATTGTAATAAATACATTTTTTTTATTATATTCATTTATAAATTATTATATAAAGTAAATATACATTTATTACTAGTTTACTGTATACTTATTTTAATGGTACTTAAATAAAACTGGGTTTGAAATCGATTTACAATATCAATAAAAATAAAAATAATTTAAGAAATCAAGTAGTATAAAAATCAAATATTTTTTTAATGATATTCAAAATTTATATTGAAATTTTAAATCGATAATTTATACTAAAATAATAATTGCTTTATAATTTTTATAATAATATAAAACTCGATTTAAAATGTAAAATGCAACAATAGCCTATTGGTCTATAATGTTGTTCATATTATGTAGGAAATAATAAATAACTTATATTTCGTTTACTGAGGTTTGTTACAGAGCAGAGCAAATGACGAAAGGTTAAGAAATAAAAAATAAAAATTGATATTTTAAATCGAAAAAAAATAAAAACTGTTTAAAATCAAAAAAAAAAATTAAAATTAAATTAAATCAATATTGTGCAGTAAAATATTTTGAAATAAAATAAAACTAATATAAAATATAATCAAATATATAAAATCAATATATTATTTTAAATTTAAATCAGAACAAACACATATCGATAAGTGAAATAGAAATTATAATCAAAATTTTAGATTTTTCAGTTTGATTTTAAAATAAAACATTATACATTTATACTTACCTATATAAAAAAAATGTAATTTACTCACTTTCACATTACTATTATGAATTACCTTTCTTATAGACTGTTTGCGCATAACTATTGTTATGAAAATAAAATAAAAATAATATGGGCTTATCTAAATTTGACTAGATTTGTTAATTCATTCACAGAAAAAAAAAATACATTATATTATATGTTAACAATATACGAATATGCCATCTGCCCATGTCATCAAACTAAAACTAATACTAACTAATCACTGCGGTTATATCCTTAGAACATGCGATGCGCAAACGACCAACTCCATGATGTCACTATGTCACACACAATTATAAAGCATAAGTTTTTATGTACTTAAATCTAAGTGATTAAATATATTTACATGTATACAATACATACTTAAAAAAATCTTATAAATTATTGATATCACTTACAATTTTAAATAACCTGTGTAAACATTCTTAATTGTTATATTATTATAAATAGTTTAAAAATCACAATAAAATCCCTCACATTAAAAATATTATAGTAATATAATAAGTGTATATAACTCTATAATTTTATTTTTAAATAATAAAAATACAATTTTTAAAATGAACAAATGGATATTTTCAAAATGATAGAAAAATAGCTTGAAAATTATTTATTTTATTTGTTTTCCAATAATTCTCAGTATAAACAATAACAATATTATATTCACATATTATGATAATATAATTAACATTAACTAAGACTAATAGCATCTTTTAATTTGAAAACCAGTACTTTGTTTTTTTTTTTACGTTTTTTAAATGCAAACCAAATATTTATAATTTGCCATACTTGGAAAGCATTGCTGTTTTCCTTCCACATACTTTATGACTTATTCAACATGAGCTTTTGATCTCTTGGTTAGACATATTGACAACACTGCTCCAGCGAATGAAAACAATGCAGACAACAAAAATCCAGAGTTATTTCCAAACATGTCCATTGTAAATCCACATATAATTGGTGCTAGAAATCTTGCTATTGCAGCGGAACTAGCTCCTGCACCAGCAACTAGACCTTTGTGATCAGATGAAGATTGTTCATACAATATTTCATTGTTAAATCCTCTTATAAGTGTACTCGAAGCGCTGATTGGAATCATAGCTGCCATAAATATAATTAAATTTGGTGCCAAGGCTAAACTAACAAATCCTATACCCAACATTATGAAGGAATAAAAACATTTGGTAAATGGATTTTTAGATGGAAATATTATGTTTTCTATTTTACCAGCTGCAAAGCCAGTTATGCCACCTGTAAGTCCTTGTAAAGCACCAGTATAACCAGCTTCTGATGGGGATAAATTGAATTTTTCATTCATAGCAAGACCAACTGAACTAAAATATGCAAACAACGCTGCAGCTCCCAACATTTTCAGCGAAAAAGCAGGCCAACATTCATTCCAATTTACTTCCATTAAATCACTAAATGGTGATGCACTCTTTCTTTCTTTCTTTGGTACAGTTGTGTTAGGAACCGTAAAATAAACAACTAAAGCGTTGATTAGAAATATTATAGAAGTATAACAAGCTAGGCTATAAAATCCTTCACTTTTTTCCATTAGATGACCACCAATAATTGGTCCAATAACGAATGAAAGTGATGAAAATCCATTCATTCGTCCATAAACTGTAGTCTGTTGGTCAGCAGGTACTTGGTCATTAACTAATGTCTTGCACAAAAGTTGTGAGTGTTTCAAACATCCTTGGATGACACGAATTATTATTATGAATATCAATGATTTCACACAGCCTAGAAGGAAATAGGCTATAGCACAAATGCATATTGTAACAATGAGTACAATCTTTCGACCATAATGATCACTGAGTGCACCAATTGGTGTGCCAGATAGGAATTGTAGAAATGAATATGTAGAACCTACTAAGGCTATATGAAAGTGACTAGCGCCTAAAGAGCGCAAGTGAGTGCCCCATACTGGTATGATGAGACTAATGCTAATTAAGTCCAAGAATACAATAGCATAGATGTATGAATATTTGAACATGGCTGGAAAATGTAGTTCCTAAAGAAACAAACAAAAATTAGAGTTAACAATGAAATAAATATAATTTTACATTAGGTATATGCAATTAATTTTTTTCTTTTCTTAGCATTGAAAAATAATATTTAAATTGAATATATTTAGGTAGTATTAATTATGTGTTAGTTAAGACGTATAGAAATAGATCATTCATATGTATTTTCTTGATATTATATTTACCCAAAACTAATAACGTAGTGGTTACAATTTTACAAGGACATTAGATAGGTATACAATAGAAATATATTATATTATTATGTAAATATCTTGCTTTGTTTGGCCTTGAAAATGTACATAAAACTGATTTATACAAAAATACAATTTGTATTATGCCTATTGGATTCTTAAGAGGACACTACATCCACATGTGTTTTGTCCGTTTTACAACCGTTTTAAATACCATAAACGGTTTTTTTTTTTTTTGCGGGACAACTATAGGTACTCTCTGTATTTATAGTAGAATGGCCAAAATTCAACAACGCATAGTGAAGAACTTTATCTGCGCTGTAATTTTTATTATTTGGATAAAATAATTACAATGAAGGTGATGAGTTTGAGAACATTGGGTGTTTATTATTTTTTTCATTGCATGATTAAAAACTATTGGTTAGTGCTATAAAAATAATTAAAACGCTACAACACAGATAAAGTTTTTTCCTGCACGCTGTGGAATTTCGGTTATTCTATTATAAATACAAAAGTACTATAGTTACCCCGCACAAAACAGTTTTTGCTATGTTGTTGTACATTTACAAGACGGAAACAACACATGCGGGAATAGCGTCCACTTAAAGTTGTCATTTTAAAATCAGTCTTTTGAATATTAAATATAGATCGGAGTTTAATTTTATCACAATTGTAGGACATTTGTTAATAAATAATAATATATTACATTTTAGTCAAATACTCAAATATTTATAGTTAATTATATGATATACTTATTAGCTTTTTACTTACCCAGACAAAAAATATTTGAATAAGTTCAAGTCACAGGAATACTCTAGAGAAATATTTTGTTTTCAACACCCTGAAACGTATAATGTACAAAATATTTAAAATCATTAAATTGTTCAAGGCCCCATACTTTTAAGTCTTACAGCAACACAAAGTTTTTGATATGCAATGGACTCATCAGCAATTTCAATCATTGTTGTAGACAATCATCCTGCACAAAATTATAGAAAATCGTATTAAACAGTCAATTGAATCAAGTACCTACTCGATGAAAGAAAAAAAATAAATGACGCCATACTCTATAGCCGTACACATTGGTGTTATTATTATATTTGCTTATTACTTAACATTATGTAAGTCACAATTTATTTTTATATGCAGTTGTAGTCAGTACCTATTTCGACGGTATCAATTTTCTGCCGTCTTATCGGATAAACATCACAAATTGGAAATACAAATGTACACCAATACCGTTGTAAGCTTGTATAAATATGTCTATTAATTATGATCAGTGAACGCGAGTCCGAGGCTCCCTCCATGGTCGCCCACGAGCCGATGTCCATTGCTATTAAAATTATCGATTACATAACATTTTTACAAAAAAATTATGTACGATTTACATTTTGGTACATAATACCAACTTCCATGATACACCTGTTTATTTATTAATCAGATTGTTTTTGTAGAAGTCGTATTTTACCAATACTAATAAGTAATGACGTATTTACATTTTTTTAATGTTTACAAAAAAAATTAAATATGACAGAAAATTGATTATTTGATTCTGGGTGATAACTGATAAGTGATAATTTTTTTTATGTGGTAACCACGGTCTGGTTTGTTTAACCGGAACGTCAAAAGTGATAACATTATCACAATTCACAGTTTCACAACAAGGAGCAATTGAAAAGGAAAATAATTTACTATTTTCGACAATCGACGAGTTTTTTTCCAGCTCGTAAGGTACGTACGTTTGCATTCGATCTACTTTGTTAGACTCGTCCATAATCGTTTTGTTTTCATTGTTGCTTTCATTTTACAGTTATTGAAAAAGATGAACGGCTCAGCTTTGGTGAGGTCAAACCTGGTGGCTAAAGGTCACGGTGGGGCTATTGGACTACCGAGTTTGGCGTTTAAAAATGCATTGCAGACACGCCGAAACACTACTGCAGCGGCCCCTCCTCCAGAATTAAAGGCGTCGTACGGTAATCTTTCAGATTCTGATAGGATTTTCACGAATCTGTATGGACGCCACGACTGGCAACTGAAGGGTGCGTTAAAACGCGGTGATTGGTACAAGACAAAAGAAATTTTGATAAAAGGTACGGATTACATTATTAATGAAGTTAAAACTTCTGGTTTGAGGGGACGTGGTGGCGCTGGTTTCCCGACTGGTATGAAATGGAGTTTTATGAACAAACCTTCTGATGGCCGCCCAAAGTATTTGGTCGTTAACGCTGATGAAGGTGAACCAGGCACTTGCAAAGATCGTGAAATTATGAGACACGACCCACATAAATTGATTGAAGGATGTTTGGTTGCTGGCCGAGCAATGGGAGCTTGTGCTGCTTATATTTACATCCGTGGAGAGTTTTACAATGAAGCTTCCAATCTGCAACAAGCTATTTGTGAGGCTTATCAAGCTGGTCTTATAGGGAAAAATGCGTGCAACTCTGGCTATGACTTTGATGTATTTGTGCACAGGGGAGCTGGTGCTTATATTTGTGGAGAAGAAACAGCTCTCATTGAATCACTTGAAGGCAAACAAGGCAAACCAAGGTTGAAGCCCCCTTTCCCAGCTGATGTTGGAGTTTTTGGCTGTCCTACTACAGTATCAAATGTTGAAACAGTAGCCGTTGCACCTACCATTTGCCGCCGTGGTGGTGCATGGTTCTTGGGTCTTGGAAGACCTAGGAATTCCGGAACTAAGCTCTTCAATATATCTGGTCATGTAAACAATCCGTGTACTGTTGAAGAAGAAATGTCAATTCCATTGAAAGAGTTGATTGAGCGACATGCTGGTGGTATAATTGGTGGTTGGGATAATTTGTTGGCTGTAATTCCTGGAGGTTCATCGACACCACTTATACCAAAACATGTTTGTGAAACAGCAATTATGGACTTTGACGGTTTGGTAGCAGCCCAAACTAGTTTAGGAACAGCAGCTCTGATTGTAATGAACAAGCAAACTGATATTGTAAAAGCTATTGCTCGTTTGATTATGTTCTATAAACACGAATCATGCGGTCAATGTACACCTTGTCGTGAGGGCATTAATTGGATGAACAAAATTATGTATAGGTTTGTTGACGGACAAGCTCAATCTTCAGAAATTGACATGTTGTGGGAGATTAGTAAGCAAATTGAAGGACACACGATTTGTGCACTTGGAGATGGTGCCGCATGGCCTGTACAAGGGCTGATTAGACATTTTAGACCTGAACTCGAATGCAGAATGAAAAAGTACCAAGAGCAGAATGAAAAACAAGCTTTATCTAACTAATAGTTTTTCAATAGTATTCGCCTAACATTGGTCTACAAATTGTTAAATTGTGATTTTATCATTTGTTTCGACAAGTTTATTAGTTACATATAAATATATAAATATTAATGAAATAATTGGAAAAAAATAATGTTTTATTGATATTTATACTATACCTCCTACTATGATAATTTGTTATTTTTTTTTTTATCCATACCCAAATGATTTTTTTATCAAAAAAGTAGAATTTTTATTAAATTGCAGCTTATTATAAATTTGTATTAAGTTTAATGATATTATAACTTATATAATCACACATTAGATAACACTTCTATGTATATTTCATAATATAATTATGTCCAACTTGCATTAATAAACTGTTTTCAATACAATTGAGAATGTAGGTACTTCTATTTAGAATTTAGTTTGGAAAAAATATTTTCAACTAGGTTTTTTATCTTCATAATGTTTATATACATTTAACATAATTTATTATGCCAATATTATTTCAATAATAATTAAGTATAATGAATAATGGTAAGTGAGTAGCATTTGCCTGCCATCATTAATTTGTTATATTTTATTTAGATATACAAACCGTCAGTGCTTGAATTGGGAAAAATTTAGTAGAGGAGCTTAATCCAATGATTTAAAAACTGCGTTCCATGGGCACAACTACTCAACACAGAACCGTGGGGGGCTTTGCCCCCACACCCCCCACGCTTCTACCTTATATACATTTCGGATACCACTATTTATGAACACATTTTGAATTCCAAATAGGTATAATATATTTTGATAGAATTCTTACAGTTGAAAAAAAATTAAAAATAATCTATCTATTTATTCAATATACTATATAGATAATGTATATGATCTGTGATCTGTGAACTACTGAGTACTGTCTATATAGTCAAAACACCAGATGATAATATTATACCCAGGGTTGGGCAAGATACTCAAAAAAAAGTATCATGATACATGATACATGATACATACATTTTGTGTATCAAGATACAAGATACAAGATACATTGTGAATGTAGAAAAGATACAAGATACAAGATACATGTATCTTTGATACATCAAAGATACATGATACTTTTATATTTCCAATCAAATTTTATTAATTATTAAACGTAAAACGTCTATACACAATTCACTATACCGTCTATACATAATAAATACATAATATTATTATTATACCTACATAATAATAGTATTTATAAATACTTATAAAGTCATAATTATATCAAATAATATAATAAGTCAATAGGTACACTGTACACATTATAATATAATAAGTCAATAGGTACACATTATACATTTATAACTAATACATCACATTTATAATATAAATACACCAAAATTAAGAAAGTGCATAACAATTACATCTTAATTTATACTTATATATAGTTGCTTTATGTGTATAATAAAATTGGTTATGGTCTATGGACTTATGGTCAAAAATAAATAAATAAATGAAATTTTTTATGGTCTTATGGACTTAATAGTTAATAGTTATGCAA